CCTCCCCAGTTGTGGAAGTGAAGGCTAGAATATGGTCCATCTAATAGATACATACATATGCGTTGGACATACTAATTTATGTCATACATGTAAATGTTATGTCTTGTAGTCAGTTTGTAGCCACAGAATATGCCAGAACTACTCCCCACGTCACTTGATGGCTAGTTAATCCTGAGAACTACCATAACTACATAGGCAGAAGCCAGGTAGCAACTAAACGCTTGCTGTGTACGCTAACATAATATATGAGCTCATACTCTAAAAATGCCCTTTTAATAATAGAATATAATAAGTAGAAAGTTTTATGTGATGACTTTATGTATATTACTGGCCTGAGCCAGCTACACCTGCCCATGCTGCATTCTGTAACATCCTAAAGCTGGGCTCCCTTCCATTTTATACAGCTAAATTCATGGCAGATTTTTCTCTGTCTTTTTTCCCCTGAGGCGGCCTGTACTGATGATGGCTTCTGTAATCCAGACTATTTACAATGTTCATAATATTTCTTATGTTCACAGCAATTAAGCAGTCCCCCTTTCAAAAGATGACGACCCCTTTCTTCACTGACTTTGTGGAGGAAACATGAGTCATTACCTTATCTGCCCGCAAAGTGAAACAAAAAACAAACACCCACCACAGGGGAAGTCCACCCCTGTGCAGATGGTCACCACAAAGGCCTATGTATCCCCTTAAATGCCACTTACACCCCCAAATAGGGCATATGTGGGACTTCACTGGTGCGTCAGCCTTGTGCCACTGTCTGTACAGGTATTCATTTCACCTTACATGCACAGGACTAATCCTGCAGGTGAAGAGGGATAATAAAAGTACCAAGAAAGTGTAACTTGTGGGGTTCCACATGGTGGCCAAGTCCACCTGCTCAGAGATCATGGCAGGATCTGGGACTTAGCTAGGTTTTTTGATGTTGTACAAAGAAGCTGTTATGCTGCAAAGTGTTCAAGATAAAACAAATGTTAGTCCCGTTATATACAAAGACATCACTGATACAGATATTCCGGTGGGCGGGCAAGATATTACTACAGTGTAAGAAAATAAATGAGTGGGACGTATAAAAATAATCTCATTATTGCAAGCATTTTATATATGGATCATATTATCACTATATTTTAGTCCTGTTTGAAATATGAAGTGATGATGATGTTAATCATGTATCTTGAATGTCTGCCAGTTATTTAGGTATTAATTTCATAATATTTAAAACAGGCAGAGCCAAATTCTGCCACTGAAGTCAATGGGAATTACCTCTGTGTAACTCAAAATGTACTGAACCACAATTGGACCCTGAAGAAGCCTTTCCCATAATAATGGAGCCTTATGTGGGTGTTGGCAATGAGGTCTTCTAGGACGGAACAGCCAGAGCACTGAGGAAGAGACTACTTTATATTGTCACCACCCTTTTAGCCACTGGCAGCATTGCCTTATGGGGCTTTTCTCTTGGCAGGGGGAGTGGGAAGGGGGGAAGAGTGCCTCTTCTGTGGAAATATCTCAGGAATCCTGCAGATTCCTCACCATATAAACAGGGCATGTGTTCTGCTTCCAAAGATCTCTACCCTGGTTTCCTGCAATTTCTTCATGGTTACAAGATAGGGGCAGGAGTGAGAGCAGTGGACTGGCTGAACTTAGCGGCATGATCCCCTGGTTCCCTGAGAAGGAGTTAATATAGCTGAGTGACCACTAGGGGACCTGGAAACATTAGCACAGCTCTTACCAGGGGAAAGGACACCAGCATGCAGGAGGATGTTCTCTGGGGGGCCTGCTGTGCACAGAAGACCCAGAGTTGGAGGTGTGTAAAGGTGAGTTTTACAACATCTATGCACCCTGATCTCTTCCCCATTTCCAACTTACATTGTGTGTATGTTGGCAGAACTTTGGATTACGCCCTATATAATTAAGAGTACATACATATGTATATACTAGCTAGAGTTTTTATAGGATATTTGTGGCCTGTGCCCTGCAGTGTAAATTGCTTCCAAATCCACTTTTGGATGCTGCTTTAATTAAAAAAAAACAGTAAGTGAGTTACAGGTAGATAGAAGCTATCATTTATTTCGTTTCTGAATGTTTTTGGACTATTTGCTCAATACTTTCTCCCTAACTTTGTTGAAAATGTGCATCCTTAATTTATATACAGTAAAACCTCAGAGTTACAAACACCTCAGGAATGGAGGTTATGCGCAACGCTGAAATGTTGATAACTCCGAACAAAACGTTCTGGTTGTTTTTCAAAAGTTTACAACTGAACATTGACTTAATACAGCTTTGAAACTTAATTATGTAGAAGCAAAATGCTGCTTTTCACCATTTAAATTTAAATAAAACAAGCACAGAAATAGTTTCCGTACCTTGTCAATCTTTTTTCAAAAACTTTCCCTTTTTTTAGTAATTTACATTTAACACAGAACTGTACTTGCTTTTTTTGTTTGTTTGTTTTTTTGGTCTCTGCTGCTGCCTGATTGTGTACTTCCAGGTCCAAATGAGGTGTGTGGTTGATTGGTCAGTTTGTAACTCTGGTCTTCGTAACTCTGAGGTTCTACTGTAATGTAATTTGTTAAAGCATTAGTATGAAAAACTTGTTTGGACCATATTATCTAGTAGGTGTTAAAATAAATCTCCAAAGAATTTGTACTCTTGACATACATCAGACAGGAGTGCACAAGTGGAATTAACAGTAGGCAATAAAATGTGGAAATTCTGGCTGTACAGAAGAAATGATTTCCATGAAAAGGTGTATGATTTCTGGCTGATGCACAGATGAAAGAGCAAAGAGAAATGGAAGACAAAGAGGAGAAAAATGCAGAACAGATCACAAAAGGTGTGTGTTTGCAGTGTCCCAGGGTATGAGAGAGACAATGTAGGTGAGGTAATATCTTTTATTGGACCAACTTCTGTTGGTGGAAGGTACAAGGTTTTGAGCTACACAGAGCTCTTCTTCCAGTCTGGAGAAGGAAGCAGAACGTCTGAGGCTATGGCTACACTACAGTTTAATGAAGTTGATGTTAGCACTGTAGTGTCCAAGAAGTGGATCTCTTGTGTGGACTGGTCCAGGCTGAGGTTGATGGTGGGATGGAAATTGTTGAAATCATGGTGGAATTATGTTGTTCAGGGGTGTGAATTAGCCACCCCCCACTGAGCAAGATAACTTATGCCGATTTACATGCCTGTGTGGATGGCACTATGTCAGCAGGAAAGCGTCTCCTGTGGACATAGCTACCGCTGCTCACGGGGGCTGGAGTAGTTAACCTGACGTGAGAGCTCTCTCCTGTTGGCTTAGATGGCTACACAGAGAGCTTACAGTGGCACAGGTGTATCAGTGCAGCTGTGCTGCTGTAAGCTCTCTAGTGTAACCATAGCCTGAGTTAAATGCAAGCTGGACTAGCATGAGGTAGTCACTTGAAGTGGGCAATTGAGGGTTAGATTGTTATGTATAAAGGGCTGAAGTGGACAGTTAAGGATAGCTGGCAGCAGCGTTACAAATTGCAATGGGCCATAAAACCAGTGTCCCTGTTAAGTCCAAGGCTTTTGGTTTCTAGCAGAGCTATGAATGTAAGTTCCCGGGCATGCCTTTTGAAGGTGTTGTACCAGCTTCCCTTGAGGACAAGTATTGAAAGATCAGAAATTGAGTGATACCTTTGTGAAAAGGGTTTTTGTCTTTTATCACTTTTCTGTCCCAACTTATATTTAGTTCAGACATGCTGCTTCCTTCCCCAGAGCCGAAGAAGAGCTCTGTGTAGCTCAAAACTTGTGCCTTCCACCAGCAAAAGTTGGTCCAATAAAAGATATTACCTCACCTACCTTTTCTCTCAAAAGGTGTTTGGGTAAAGCATGGCCAGTGGTGTCTTGTAACACTCAGGTTACACCCTCTCACATGGCTGATGTTACACAATATAACCAAATGCAACCATCTATCAAACTATAATATATCTGTGCCCTGTTAGAGAGAGTGTCTTTTTACCCCTTTCAACTCTTAATAGAAGAGAACATTCATGTTCTGGGCAAAATTCTCAAACTTGAGCACCTAATCTACATCCACAAATGACATGAAGGGTAATCAGACATCTTACTGCAGAAGAGAGAGATCCTCTCTCCATCCTGAGACTTCATGCACAATTTAACAGGTGATTTAAAACTCTGATGCACAGCTACACTGTACTAAGTTGAGGGAAACATGCTAATCTTTATTTTTCAACGTTGAGAGGTATTTTCCCTTTTAAGGTTTTTCTCTGGTCCTGAAAGAGGTGCTGGCTGAAGATTCAACCCAGAGGTGCTTATACATAAATAGTCCATCTAAAAGTATCTGTACAATACCATGCTGCACAGAAATATCTGGAGTACATGTAAAATGTTTACTTTTATATTAAAGGTACTTTTAATTACAACCTCTGCCAAATATGGCAATGTCAGAGAACAGCACAGTGTTTCTGGCAGTGGATATGAATTTAGGACTGTTAAGGGAATTATATTTTGCCTGTATAGACACACAAGAATGTGGCTGTATGCTTTTTTTTTTTTTTTTTTGGGAGGTGGAATGTGAGCTCCCCTCAGAGCTGGCCTCAGACTGTCAGCTTCTTTGGAGGTCTTGCCTCCACACCCTCACCTCACTTTGTAAATATTTTGCTATGGCCATAATTGTGCCCCCTCTGCACCTTGGAACGCAAAGGTCCCAGTGCTGCTGTGATTGTAGGTAGTAGCAAAACTGCCATTGATTTCAATGTGATGGTTAGGATTGGGCCCAAAAAGCACAAGCTCTGGAATTCAGGCTCCCCCTGAACAGTCCATTCGAAGGATGAGAGCCTTCTGTGCCCCCTCCCATGAATAGAGAGCCAGAATCCGGCTCTAAATTTGGTAAACTATAATTGGGTTGGAGTCAATTACTGTTCCATGCATATGCATACAAATTTCCATAGGAGTCAGTAATAGCCAATCCTATATGCTTGCCTGTATCATGAAGACATAGCTGAGTTACAAAAATGCAAAGCACTCAAAATTAGGATATCTTTATTTTGTTAGTTTTTAAAATTTATATCATTGAAAAGAGCCAAACATTGTTTTTCGTTAATACTTGTAAGGGGAAAAAAATATAAGAACAGGAATGCGCTGAGATTTTTGCATCCCAGAACAAAGTTCTATCCCAGAGCAAAGTTTTATTGCCAAGTTATAAACACATGAAAATGGGGAGTTTGCAGTGGAAATGCTGGCAAACCTTTAATTAAGGCAGCCCTGCTGCTAGCTGTTATAAGGTGGAGCAAGCCATTTCCCCCAATTGTGCTGTATTTTTTTTTAACTGAAATATATTTCTTAGGCATTTAAAAAGGACCAAATGAAAATACAGTCTCAGCATTCCATGCCATGATTTTTTGAATTTGTGTTTAGTTTCTGTACCTAATAAAGAAGAAGAACGAGAACCTTTCTGCTTGATTTAGCTATTCAAACAAACCAGCTGTACAAACACTTCTAAGCCAGGGCCAACATTAAGTGAAATGAGTTGTTATACGAGGGGATGGGGTTTCAGAGGAGAGGGGTCCTACTAAAGTTCTTGGTATAGGTTGTGTCTTCCCTGAAACTACTTTTTAAACCCATTGACTCAAATTTTCCTGCAGCTTTTTGACACTCGAGTACGAAATGTGCTAAAATAATAAACATTTCTAAAGGCTGGATTTGCTCATGCCAAGAAATTGCTATTGCTTGGTCATAGAAGGGTTCTCACCATCATTGTCATGGAGACTTCAGTGCTTTCTCTCAAGCACAGAGGTGAAATTCACTGCACCTTTGTAATGCCTTAGTAATCAGACTGTATGCAGGTGCAGGAAAACGCCACCGAGGGGTTGAAATTCTCCCCCTCAAACCCCAACATAAACAACAGCCCCTTCAACACTGCTGCAATTATTCCAGCCTAGTGAGTCAATTATCAACTGCAGTTCCTCTGTACCATTTGTAGAATTGGAGAATATATGTACATATGACTCTGGCTTGAACCCATTGCTGCTTTCTGTGCAGGCCTCGGTGATGCTGGCATGGTTATAATGTCTGTGGCATACATGGAGCGTGAAGACACCTCTGGAAAGAATATGCATATGAAGTAGGCCGGGGTGGGAGAGTTGGATTTTCTGTTTCAGGAGAAATTCCACTATTTTAATATTTTTTTTCCATTCCAAAATGGAACAAAAAACTAAACTTAAGTTTCCGACATAACAAAATTCTAATTTTTTTTTGTTTCAGGTCAATTGAAATACTTTTTTTGTGGCAAGAGCAAAACATTTGGTTCAAATTTTGACCTTTAAACTTTTAAATTCTTTTTATATAAAAAACCCCCGCAATTAATTTAGTATTGAAAAAAATCATTTGTAAATAAAAAAAATCAAAACCTTCCATTCTGAAAGTGTCAGAATGGGATGTTTCAACCTTATCAAAATGCCTCCTTTTGCCTTTATTGTTTTGATGAAATTTCATCAAAATCATACATTTTTCAAAACATTTTAATTTTGATGAACATGGCTGTTCCCATTGTTTTGATGAAAACTTTCTGGACAGCTCTAACCTGCAGTCCCCATGTGAAGCTAATATTGAATTAAATAGATCTGTAGGCCAGATTCTCTGCTGATGAAAATTGTTGTAACTCCACTGACATCACTCAAGCTACTCTGGCCCACACCAGAATGTGAGATTTTCATCACATGAAGAGAAAACCAAGATCCTGAAGTTTGTTGCTCCAGCTGAGTTCATGAAGTAGAATGAATCAATGAATGAAGAAGCCAAAACATGATGTTCCCTTAAAAAAATATGTCACTAGTGTACTTTACGTGAATATAACAGACTCTGAAAAACAATTTGTACATATAAGTTACACAAGCATTTATCAGACCTTATGAATTATGTACATTTCTATTACGATAATCTATTTCCTGTAGTTAGAAATTAAGTACACCTGCTGGAGCCCTACTGGAAAGTACAATATGCATCAAAAATGTTCAGAAATATAAAATTCATAGTAAAGCTGCCTTGTTTTCTTTGATTATTAAATCCTCCATCGACCATGATAGCTCACTAGCAAAAGTAGAAATAGCAATACACAAAACACTCTTGTCCGAAAAAAATACCTTCCTTTGTACAGTCAGCAAAGCAGACACGTTCAGTGGTCTCCAACCTAGGTTTTTCACTGTGTGAATGGACAGGACTATATTTTCTCCCCAAATACAACACTGGATTAAATAAACTCTGAATTCCACTGTCAGTGAACTCATTCTTGAAAGGTCATTTTGTAGGAAGATGTGGTCCCAATATGTGTGTTGGAATGAAGAGGTTAGCACAGTTAGGTACAACCAGTAGTCCTCCATGTCAATTTTACAGGTGAACCGAAAAGTTTTGGGGCTCAATCCTGCTCAGAATGTTTAAAATCTCTCCCATATCAGCAAGCATGTGATTCATGTCTGTGAAGCGGGTCCACAGGGTCTGTGCACTATTTAAGTCCCATTCAAATACCTTAGGGCCTCATCCAAAGCCCATTTAAGTCAATCGGAATCTCTTCATTGACTTCAATGGCTGTGGATCAGATGCTCAGTGCTTGAGTGTTGCACAGGCCTTGTGTGAGCTTAACAAACTAATTTCACCCTAACAGAATGTGAACTTGATCCTGCAGTTCTTTCTCCTCACAATTCTTCCTGCAGGATTAGACCCTCTACTTGGAGAATTAAGAGCTACAAATGCATTGACATTGTAAAGCAAAGTGCTGGATTTGAAATATTTTCCCTCCTTTACTTACCTGGCAAGATCTGAGGTTAGAACTCTCAGAACTAATTATAGTTTAGGCAATCGAAGCACTGCTAAGAGTAGAGCAAAATTACTTGTTTATGCCTCAACCAAGTCTGTGATTCTTGCAGGGGAAAAACAAATCTTGGATGGAATCTCAATAAATAAAGTAAATAAAGAAGAAAGGGAGTTTAAAATATATTTGTGACTAGCTGGTGCCTCTGCAGAAGTCACTGGTTAGTGGAATTGTGACATCAGAGATAGCATTTCCTCGTCCTCTTCTTCCTTCTTCTTTCCAGTCCCTACTTCCCTGGTTCTCCCTCCTTTCCCTATCCCTTCTCCTCCTTGAATCCCAGAGATGGGATTGTGACACAAGTGCTAAATCAACCTTCAAACAACTCATGGCTGAATGCTGATATTGAGATAGCTAAGTGAAGCAAGTGACACCAAAGACAGGAGTAGGTGGGTCTGTGGCATCAGAGGTATGTGACTGTCTCCCTTCTGTTTTCATTCCTTGGGCCTGAGGCTGGTAGAATTTTGCTGACAAATATACGTGGATCACACAATAGGTAGAAGTGGAGGCAAACAGAATGAATGGCCTCTTTCTGGCCTATCTTCAAAGGTGCCAAATAACTGGTTAACCTAATAAAAAAGTCAAGACCTCATTGTACAAATACTAGTTGTTGGCTTTAACTTACCCAACTACATGAAAACCAGAGGAGAAACAGTGATACATTTCACTGGACATCCTTTCGATACTTGGGAACTTTATATACAAGTTAAATTCTATAGGCAAAAAGTCCTAGGACTTGCAAGCACCTAGAACTAGAACTGGGTGAACAATAGGTTTTTTGGTTCACTTGCAATTCTGGGGGAAAAAACAGATTTTTAAAATATTTTTCACTGAATCAAAAAATTAAAAAGATAAAAATATATGATTCAGGTCAAACAAAATATTTTGTTCAACCTGAAACATTTTATTGTTTTTATTTCAATTGAGCATTTAAAATTTTTTTAAAATAAAATTAAAAGGAAATTTCTACACAATCTTTTTGAATAAAATAATTTAAATATTTAATTTAGAAAATGTCAAAATGAAACATGATTTTTAAAATATTTTAGGGGTTTTGTTAACTGAAACAATTCAAAGAAACTGACATAAATTCATGGAATGTTTTGGTGTCACTGAATCTGCATATTTTGCAGAAACTAAAGTTTGGCATAAGAGTTTTTGTCAAAAATGTTTGCCAAGCTCTACTCAGAGCTGCCCAGGCACTGGTCCTATCAATTTGCAAGGACTTTTACATTCACCTTTGGAAAGAAATTGTAGCTATTTTACTCAGCCCAATGGTGTGTAACGGTCATTTGACACTGGCAATAGAGGAGCCTTACAGCTATAAATAAGTTACTCCTTGGCTGTAAGACTCATTTAACAATCATAAAAAGACCTTTAGTGTTTAATAATTACATAAAATATTGACTTTCTAATTATGAATATTTCTTCGGCTGTGACACTGGTATAAACTAGTTCCTCATCTCTTCCACTGGCCTCCTTTACTGCCAGCATGCAACTTCATTAGACAGACAAATGTTCACCAGCGGCAGGCTCAGTGTGTCAACAGCAATTAACAAAAATCTTAATTTCCAAATACATTTCACAGTTTATTCATAGTGCAAAATTTGTTCCTTACTTATCAGATTGCTGGGTGGAGTATTATGGCTACAGGTTTCCTATGAATGAATATTATCGAGCAACTAGCATAGCTTGAAAAAAAATTTTTTTTGAGATTTTTCCAGGACTTTCATGAGGCTCCCAAAGACGTATTTTGTTTCTCTACTGATTCTTATGCCTACTAGTGTTGAATGTTTTTAATGCAATAAATAGTTTACCTTTGTTTCTGTTGTGCACCTGATGTCAGGAGGGTAATTCTGTATGAGATCCTTTTGAGCTAAGGATTTGAATACCTTGGAATGACGGGTTTCTCTTCTCCCCCACCCCCAAGTGCAAACATTTCCAGGAAAGCAGCAGAGCTGATTAAAATGAAAACAACAACAGATTCCAAGCCCGTTACACCTAATGAAAGATGATCGTTTAAAGTCTAGGGTGAAAGAAAGTTATTTAAAGCAACAAATGCTAAACAATTTCAATTGGTCGTTAGTTAGTCCAGTCTGGAAACTGAACACTCCTTGCTATGAACTAATCCGTTCTTCTATATCTGCTATGGGATACCTTGAATTGTTACGACTATTGAATCTGTGTGTCATATGGCAAGTAGCAGGGACTGTGGAAAATCCAAATGTTTCACTGAATAGTTCCGTTCTCAGCCCTGTTTCTAAAAGCAGCATGCTGTAGTAGTATCAAATACTATATCCACCTCTCTCAGGCAGACTCTCGCTGGGCCATCACTGGCCGAAGCTGATGCTTCTATAGTTCGCGTATGATGTGTTCTGTTTAGCACTCTCTCACAGTGGCACTCAAGTCTGAACTCCTCCCTTCGCCCCACCCTGCCATGAACAGAATGCAAAATGACCTGTTAGTCTTGTTTTCCTCTGAGCTAGGCAGACGTCTCTCCAGATTTTAATGCAACGAGTTCAGAGTCATCTATGTATTTTCCATTTAACTGTTCGTTGGTGGAATCGTGATGATACAGATAAACTGGGACCTCGGTGATAGATGTTGCTGTGTAGGAGGTAGATCGCGTAGAGCAGTGCTCGCGTCGTCTTTGCCCCCATTGGGTCTTATACTGCATCCATTGCCTTTTTAGAGCGCCCTGTACCTGCAAGGGGAAGCCAAGCAATAGTTTTATCGTTATTATTAGTCGATGGAGTTGGCTGGGATTTGAACTGGCATAACAAGGCACAAACTGGCTCCCTTCCCTTTTTTTATTATGCTGGAAATTCTACTTTCCAATATCAACCCAGTGCCATGGCTTTTCACCGAATGTTTATTTTAATCTCCTTGTGTCCACCTTGCTTTGAGGTTAGAACTGGTTGAAAAATATTCAAGAATAGTTTTATTCGGGGTGAAATGTTCTCAGTGCAGAGCCAGCACACAGTGCTTAAGTAAAACTTCAGCAGTGAAGCTTAAGTGGTGTACACTCAGGACATTTTGCCCCAGCGAAACTAATCATGAATAGTAAAACTGAAGCAATGCAGAGGCCTTGGTGCTGGCCTGCTGCCCGCCGGTGGTTTTCATCCTTCGTACATACACCATCACGGGGAGGAGGAGAACGCAATTCCCTCAGACAGCTGATTTCAGACTCGGCCTATATAAACCATGCAGAAGAATACCAAACCTCCTTAACATCTTTACTGGCCAGTCCCAGGCTTTGGGTCCAGGCACGAAGGAGTGAATGGGGTCCTCGCCTGCTTGCTCCCTCCCCAAAGCAGGTGTGTGGAAAATAAGAGAGAAACAGACAAAGACAGAGAGTTGGGGTGGGTAATAATTTACTGCAACAATGTGATGTAAATAACTGCACTGGGAGCAAGCAGGTGAGGAACTGAGACATAATGGATGTGTTCCGGTGTCACAGTGGTCCAGGGTGGTACAGATTACATACCACTCTTTCCTCAGGGCTGTGTCTAAACACACAGACTAGCCTTAAGATGGGGTGTACTTTTGACTTAGGTAGCAACATTTAAGTATCGTTGATATCCCTGGTAATGCCCTGAATTCTAATACATTTTATTAGTTCATAGACAGTAAATGTCACCCACACACAAATAGCAGCAGCAGCAGCCTCTGTACCTCTCTGGTGGGCTGTCGTGTCATAGAAACGTGAGGCTTCATTAGGCACTGCTAAAACTGTGAGATGCTTACAAAGCGTATAGTGGGTTACGTCACTATGCTAGGAAGGGATATGTCAGTGGCTTGCAACTTTGTATTTTTAAGCCAAGGGCCAAGCCGAGTGATCCTAAAAATCCTTCCTCATGCAAGTAGTTGGACTTCAACAGGACTACTTAACGCATAACAAGAACGACAGCCGTATCATCTCATTGCTGTAGTCCAGTTGAAGACAATGTGGTTAGAATTGTTTTCAGCTGGAGAAGTGTTGTTTTTATTTACTCTCCCATAACTCAGGAATGGCTGAATGTATTTTTGCTAGAGGCCAAGCACAGAGAAAGCCTAGGTTTATACTGGAAACCACAGTGCATCCTGACTTGTAAGGGGCATGACCAAAGTTTATTATGGTAATGCTAAGGGGAATGAGCTGCATTAATGAGATTTTCGTATCATGCCATTGCAGAAATTCGATTAGTGAAAAGGATCTCCGGTATGATCTAATGTGACAAGGCATTGCTAATACAGCAGCAAAGTTGTAGTACAGAACTGTAGGTAAGTCCTGTATGAATTTCAATTACTTAATGAGCAGCTTTCACCCTTACAGTGGTTCATATCGCGTGTAATTGCAGTGTTTCACATCAGTGAAACCCACAGAAAGGGACCAAGGGAAGCAATCTTTGCAAGGATTCATTCAGAGAAGTTCCCCACATCATTCTGTGGGGCAGGAGGAGATAGGGTTTCCCACCCACCAATGGGGAAAGGTCTAGAGGGCAGTCCTTGAAACCTGTTGGATCGGAGGGAGGCCAGGGCAAGCTTTGCAGAAACCTTGTTTCTCTACACTGGCTCTAGCCACCAGCAGCCCCTTTCCCCCCTTACTAGGGTGACCAGACAGCAAGTGTAAAAAATCAGGACAGGGGGTAATTGGCGCCTATATAAGACAAAGCCCCAAATATCTGGACTGTCCCTATAAAATTGGGACATCTGGTCACCCTACCCCTTACCTACCTTGGAACACAACTCCATTGGGGTTGCACTGTGAGCAGGGACCATCATTGCCCTGGAGGCTACTGGAGTGTGGTTGGTGCTCTGCAGAAAAGATGATTTGGAGTTTACCCTTTCTGAGTAAGCTCCAGGTGGCTGGAAGGAGGAGGAGGATGTGTCCCCTGGTCTTGCTCCTGGCCCTCCTATGTCTTTCCCCTCCACTCTCCAGGAGGATCCCAGGACCAGTGAAAAGGCCCCTGTGGGTCCAGAGTGGGAGGGAATGCTGCTGCAGAGGGTGGGTGAGCCCCTCATGCACCCTCAAGCTGCTTCTACTCATGTTGTGGTCTGAGGTTGCACCAGGATAAATGCAGGCTGGGGACAAACATGGCTTAAAGAAGAGAGGCCTGATCATAGTATGAAGAGCTGCACAATCTACTGTGAGTAGCAGCTCATCTTGGTCTCAACAGGGGGTAATACTTTGGTTGTGGGGAGTTTGGAAGAGTGCAAGCATTCCTCTCCCGATTCAACCCAGGGTTAAAACTGCTATGAATTAAAATAAATAAACTCTATGTAGTACCGAGTGCATGAGGTTAAAGAATATATGTTTTTAATTCTTCACTGGCCTTTAGTTTATGAGATTTGTAGCTGCACTTACAAATTGAGTTCAACTGTATTTCTGTGCTAACGCCAAGGAATAGGGAACTGATTTCAAAGATCATATCCTCTGCTAATTAAAACTATCCATATGCAGATTTGAAATGTGTTAGCCACATGACTGTGCTTTTAAAAATCATGTGCGTGACATTAATATGTTAATAATCAAAGAGATTAATCAGCTGGGTGTTACACCACAATGGTGCGTGAAATAAACCAAAGTCTAAGTAAAGAGGAAGTTTGGGCTCACTTTATTCTTCAGCTCTCTGAAATGTTTTCTGTTCTCTGCCAGCCATTCACACCTCTTTGGCAAGAAAGACCTATGGCTATATTTTCAAACAGACTTTCCATTTTCTTGGCCAACCTTCCAGTCTAGAAGTAACCTCAGAACTGGAAGTATGGTCTAATGAGCAGGCTAACGCAGAAAGCTCATGCCATCTGTATAGTGTTGTTGTTGTAGAGAGGTACCGCAGTGCTGCTGGACATTGTCCCATCACAAGAATAACGTTCTGCAGTCATGGGTGGGTCCAGCTCTCAGCTTCGGGAACTGAGAAAATCATCCCCATAATTTACACATTCACTTTCTTCTTTTCCAATTAGTTAAGACATCAGCAATGTACAATGGCTTCTTATTCAGTGTCTTGGCGAACAGTGCTGTAGGCTGGGCTTGTACGGAATGGAGGAAAATAATTTGCAGTGAGGAAGTGAGTGTGTGGCTTGCTGCAAATACTGATGTGAAAGGCTAATAAGTCTTGGGAGGTTTTGGACAAACATCATCTGCTTCTGCCTTGAAGTGAACGACGCAGCAGTACAAAGTAAATCATTGACGAGCGGAACTTCTGTCACATTAATGCTAAGTCCCTACCTCTGTCATAGTATGTTTTTCCATGAAATATCACTCTGCGTTCTAGTCACTTGGCAGTATTTGGATACACAGATCTGGAAATGGTCTCTCACGAAGCCTGAGGACTGTGGCTTTAATCTATGCTGTGCATTCGATCCAAGCTGCAGCATGAGCTCCAAGAGGAATTCTAATTGACACAGCCAGAATTCTCCAGAAACCCAGGAGGGAACACATGCTGGAGTGGCAACATTGCCTACCTCTGGGAGAGGACAGCAGATGCTCCTTTCAATGCCAGGCCAACTCCAAGGACCAGTGTGGGGGGATCTCAGGCTGTCCCTTTCAAACCCCTTTTTTGGGGTGCCTAGTGCTGCCACTGATGCTAGCCAAGGGCAGTATCTCTGCTCTTTACAAGATTATGGCCTTGAAACCCCTCTGTCTTCCCTTGTGCACCTGAAAGAATAACTGGAATTTGGAAGAAAGTGATTGAGGACAAAAAGGAGGTGAGGTGTAGACACCACCTTTCCAGAAAGAGAAAATGTCTGAAGATTAATAAGGTCCCTAACTGAATCTCTATAGAACACTGTAGGCCCACTGCTGCTGTCTGTTCTCAGGCAAAACTCCCATTGAAATCAGTAAGAGTTCTGGCAGAGGAAGGACTGCAGCACTGGCCTCTATGGAGACAGCTTCTCACTTCCAGGTGTTAGACCTGTCACCCTACCCACTGAGTTTGTCTTTTGTCTAGTTTGTAGAAAATCATCTTCATCCACTGCTGCTATAATAAGTTTACTTAGTGCTTCGACAGCTACAGACAGAGCTAATTAATCCTCAGAGTGAGGCAGGAAACTAATTGCTATTATCCCGATTTCACAGACGGAAAGTGAAGTAGAGAAATTAGGTGACTTGCCAAATGCTACACGGGGATTTCTTAGCAGAGCTGGGCTGGGCTGAGAACTCTGTAGTTCCTGGCTCCTAGCCTTGAGCTCAGTCTATTAGATCACTGAAGGCTGGTCCTAATGGTTGTGAAGTTAGACTGGATGAGTGTAAAATCGTCCCTTTCTTAAATTAGGTGCCCCACTCTGACATTCTTTTATGGGTTTTGTTTATATTTATAACTCAAAAATGACCAATTATGGGTGAAATCCACCTTGGGGAGAAAGGCACTCTATGGGGGCTACTGTAGCCTTGACCCCTGGGGATGGATTGCACCTTTCCAACATCCTCTTTTCTGCCACACTTCACCCACATGTTAGCCCAGTTACATGGACTATACAATTATGAGCACATTTTATGCTACTTGGATATCTACCAACAAAGTCCCGATTTACATGTACTAGCAGATAGTCTTGGGTCTATGTGCTATAAAATATGCCCATAATTATTTTCAAATTACTGATGACTTGATCTATAAATGGGTTCATGAATTTTACAACTGCTGCATGCACACATTGTGTGACATTGCTAAATATTAACCTGTAACTTTTTTAAAAAAGAAAAGGAGTACTTGTGGCACCTTA